TGAATTTTATAAGCGTGTAGAGACAAATCTTTTGTCAAAATTCGATGTAACGTTGTTGCGGAGAGGTTCAATTCCTGCGCGCTATGACGAATAGTGGGGTCTGGATTTTTAGCCACATTCTCGTGTACTGCAGCAATGTTTTTAGCTGAACGGCGTAAACGAGCACGCAATGATGTTTTCACATCTGCCACCGACGCAGTTTGAATTTACGAACAGTTTTTCCAATTGCTCCCTCCGTTTGTCGATTATGTTGACCAAATATCGCGAAGTGATTGAAATGCATTTCTGTTTGAACATCTATTTTTCGTAATAGGCTTCAATAACTTTAAAACATTGTTTGATTATTAATCTTTCCATGGTTGAAATTGTGAAAGACTTAAGTTGTTAAATTTGAAAGAAAAAGAAAAAAAAATCATTAGACGCTTTAACTTAATTCACATTTAAAATCGGTCTAATTTTTGGAACATCTTATATTTAGAGATCCTTGATAAAACACAAAGAAAAATCAGTAATATTATTGGACCTGACATGGTGTCTCAGCTTCACTCTCTTTTCCACTAACGTAACGTAGCTTTCCTGTGGTAATTGTTCGGATGAAGTCTTCGCTATGGCACCCAAAACATTATGAATTTAAGCGTAGATTAGTGGCAAGTCCTCATCAATTTGCTGTTAAAATGACCAGAGGCAACCGCAAGTTCTATGTTAACAGTTTCTCCTCTCACATTTTTCGCTTGTGGAATTCTCTTCCGGCATCATGCTTTTCAATCGACTTATATCTTCAAAAAATTAAATGCAACTTCAATCGTTATCTTGTGTCTTTATAATTCTAATTATTTTATTGTCCTCTCTACTTAATAGTAGTTTTTCTTCTCATATTCTATAACACTCAGTAACCACTAGTGTCCTAGTGACTTTATTGCCTTGCTTGGGGTGAAATGATAAAAAAGCCCGTGGTCGGTGTAAAAGAATCTAAAAATGTTTGGCACTAGAGAGTACTCTTTCAAATAGTGACATCTGAGCCGCAAAGAATGGTCCACTAAATTTTCCATTTTGAAACCTGCCATAATATAGTAATGACGAATCTAGTCTCTTAGTCCTTTACTAGAGAAGGGAGTTCGATTCTCACTTCTTGCTTTTTAGCTTTTTGAAAACCCTCCTCCTTGATTCCTGTCTTTAAGTACTCTGGTGAACCTTACGACCTCTCGAATCATCGCCCTATTAGTCTTTTAACTGTTTTTGGAAAAGATGCCAAATTGGTTAAACATCACATTTTACACTGCCTTCATGTGGATAAACAGTATGATTTTCGTTTCTCCAGGTCTTCCGCCGATGTCTTAAAGATTATTACTGAATTTGTCTACCAGGCTTTAAATAAGAACGGCGAAGCTCAGGCTGTGGCTTTAGATATCTCTAAGTCATTCGACAGGGAGTTGGCATGCTTCCAAAAGAGTTATCATGTCTCTGGACGAATAATCCAATCGTGTAATGAAGATTGTATTGAACAAACAAATTCTAGATCCTTTCGTGGGGGGGTATCATCAGGACCCTGTCTTTGGACCTACGTTGTTTCATATATCTTCATGCTACCAGTTACCAACTTGGTAAGATGATACAAATATTTACTTCTGTCTTAATAGCAAATCCGACAATGTAAAACGGGAAGCTACCCTTAAAATGACCTTGAAATGGTTAACTGAGGTAATGAATGACTTGTGAATCTGAACGCCTCCATAACAAAACTGCTTTCATTTAATCACCGCAGAGAATCTTTTCTGTCTACCATCAAGGTGGATGATGCTGGTCTTCAGGAGAGCAACACTCTACACCATCTTGGCCTCACGTTTTCCACTGACATGAAGCAGAGTGACTATATTGAATCAACTGCTACATCTGCTGCACTGTATCGTACCAGCATGTTTATAAATCTATCATTTGTCAATGTATTGTTACCATATCTGGCCTGGTGCCTCTATTATACAAGGTGTCCTCCCAAAAACTGACATCATTTTGTAGACTAATAACATTGCCAATTCTCGCTCAAATGATCTTAAACTTTTAACAGAATATTTAAAAACTGTGCGTACTTATCTCAATGAGAATCAACCAGGAAAATGGATCGTGCGTGTTAGTGATAATGACAAATGTGCTGTTGAAATGGCCACCACGTTCACCTGACTTGGCATCTTGTGGTTTTTTTTTATGTGCCTAAGTGAAAGGATAAGTCTGTACCATCCCTCTCGCTACATGCCTCGAAGAGCTTAAGCAGAGAATCACTGATACTCTACAGAATGTTACGCAAGATGTGCTACAGCGTGTCTGACAGGAGCTGGACTACCGACGTGTGTTGTGTCACAAGTGATGCGCATATTGAACATTTTAATATTATTTTTTTCCTCTTGGATGTAATTTTCAATATTTGAACAAATCTCATATTTTTGCTCTCTTTGTCTAATGTTCTTGGACATGTTCATAGCATTGAAATCAAGACTACATCTTGCTTAGTGAAGCTTACTACCATTTATAAAATTCTTTATAACCATATGTGTCTATTGGCAAATGATTAGGAGCAAATTCTCTATTACCGTTTGATATGATATCAAAAGAAATATGTCCTTAGCCATGAATTTTCATTATACAGTGTGTCCAAAAAATTGACATTGTTTTGTAGTCTAATAGTCAATTCTTGCTCAAATGATCTCAAATTTTAACAAAATGTCTAAAAACTAAGTTAATTGTGCAGACTTATCTCAATGAGAATCTACCAGGAAGCTGGATCGGGCGTGCCAATGCTAATGACAATGTGCTGTTGAAATGGCCACCTGACTTGACATCTTGCGATTTTTTCTTCTGTGGCTATGTGAAAGGACAGGTCTATATCCCCCTATTCCTACAAGCCTAGAGGAACTTAAGCAAAGAATCATTAAGGCACTGGAGAATGTTACGCAAGACTCCTTACAGCGTGTGTGGTAGAGGCTGGACTTGACTGGTGTCATGTCACAGGTGGGGCATGTATTGAACATTTTTAAAGCTTTGTGAAATCGGTTATAAAATCTACATCCCATTGAATATCTTGTTTGACTTTTGATAAATAAATCTTTTATTGTTCAAAGTGAAGCCTATTTAATTTCATTTGTCTGGGACATGTAGTTACACAGATATTCACATTTTAAATGAGGACAGTTTTCTTTGAAGACTCTGTATATCTTCAAGATTCTTGATAAAATCCAAAAAAGGACTGTAATGCAACTGATCCTGACAAATCACAATGACTTCACTCACTTCCCCTCCGTAGTGACGTGACTTTTTTTTTTTACAGATATTTTCATAGCAATTATTCTGATGAGTTTTTCTATTTGGTGCCTTGACTGCATGGATTTAAGTGTACTACTATTTAGAGTTCTAAACTGGCTTACATTCAACCGTCCCTTTTATTCTCATAGTTTCTGACAGCTTTTCACTTGCGCTTCCCGCCTGTGGAATTCTCTTCTCAGCTCTTGTTTCTTTGCAACCTACAATCTCTCAAAATTTAAATGCAATTCCATTCTTACTGAATTCTTTTCTTTTTTTTTGTCTTCTCTCCTCACTAATTCTCTTTTACTACCAGTAATCACTTGCATTTTAGTGGCATTATCTCTTTGCTTGTGATGAAAAGAATAAAAAAATAAAAAAACTTGGCTGGACCACATTTTTTATCACGTGTTGAAGCAAACGAAGCCCAATAAATAGTTTTGGGTAACTTTTCGAGGAGGAGCAATGGTTAAGAATAGTAATCTAACGTCCCATTACTATAGTTCTTTCGGTCCTCATATATTGCTGAAAACCTGTGGCCTTGTGTCAGGCTATGCTAGGCCTAGTACATAATTATATTATAGTTTAGATTTGATTCTACATGTACGTTTGGATTTGAAAATCGCGCTGAAGGCTACACTAAGTGCTGTAGATTTAGACTTTTTCCGTCATCTTGTCAAATGTGGGAAATTGTCGGATTATAATGGGTAGATTTTACTTCAGTAATCCCTTGGCAACATATCTTATTAGATCCCGGCTTAACATTTTCTCTTACCAGCTGGCGGATTAGAAGTCAGCTTTATCTTGAAGTGTGCTCCCTCAAAAGACAGGCGCATCACAGAAGCCGAAGGAACGTGACAAAATCTGTGATGTCTAAATACGTACAAATCTCAGCTGGATAAAAGGAACGACGTCACCTCCTGCCACTTCTATCCGACTGAGAAGCGGTATGTGTAAAAGGTCAGTAACTGAGTGACGTCAGTAATGCTGTGTTTGGCGAGTCACTTCGAATAATCTCTATTCAAAATGTTGCGCCTTGAAAATAAAAAACAAAGGGATAGTCAGTGGTCAAGAATGAAAGCAAGAATTACTCGCAGAATATATTGAGGTCGATAATGCATTGCAAATTATTTTACTATAGAAATATATTGATAATGGTTTTACTATAGAAAAACATTGCTAATAGTTTTACTATAGAAAGACATTGCTAATGGTTTTACTATAGAAAGACATTGCTAATGATTTTACTATAGAAATACATGGAAAACGAGGAAGAAAGGAATTGGTTCGGAATTTATTGAAGCATGACTGACAGAATCGGGTTATGTAAAATGCAAATGCATTACTAATGGTGGTCGAATGCATTGAAAACCAGGAATAAATTGATTGCCAATGTTCAGGAATTAATGCAAGTATTATTGATAATTTAAGTTTATTATATGAATTAATTTCAAGGAATGGCATTGTTAAAGGAAAATATTGAATTTGGTTTCATGGTGAATGCGTTGGTGCTCAGTCGCCGACGTTCTTTTGTTTATTGCAGCTGACGATTTGATTGAAAAAAAAAAAGAGCATTTGAATTGATACTAATTAAATTAAAAGAGATATTTTGGTTAGACAGAATACGAATCTTTGTGAATCACTCGAGAATCAAGAATTCGCAGCGTAATCGACTGAGACGGAAAAATCACTGACCTTACAAAAAATATGTGATGGACGACGTCGATAAAAGTAACAGTTGATAAAATTAAACGTTAAATAATTGCAAAGAAATATATTTAAAAACTCCGATCGCTTATATATTATTATGTTTCTTATTACTTGTTGTGATGTAGGGTCTGGGAAGACACAGCACTTAATTTGACTAGTATTAAAAAGTGCATGTCCTTCAGACCCTGGAATATATATATATATATATATATATATATATATATATATATATATATATGACGTGCCTTGACCGCTCGGCCACAAAGAAACTTACGGTAGACAATGTATATATATAGCTTATGAAAAACTAGGTAATCAGTATGGGTAAACCTAAGGAGGATAAAATCCAGAGAACTCAATGTAAATTCAGAGCAAATAATTTAAATAATATATATATATATATGTGAAAAGTGAGTGTATATAAATATAAATATGTGAAAAGTGAGTGTATATAAATATAAATAAATATATATATATATAATTATTTATATATTATATGCGCGGTACTTATTAGAAAGCGCTCAATATCAGAGATAGAGTTAACATATCTGTTTGGATTGATGTGAGTTTGTGACCCTGGGTTTCACGCTTTTGCGATCGTCAGACAAACTCATGTGTGTGTGTGTGTGTGAGTGTTATTATATTGTGTATAATATATATATGTTGTTATTGTGTGTATATATATATATGTTGTTATTATATTGTGTATGTATGCATATATGTTTTTATTATATTGGACATAAATATATATGCTGCTTTTATTTTCTATGTGTATATATAAATAAATAAATAAAGCACGACTCGGATTGAGGAATCGGAGAGCCGAGTTCGAATTCCTGTCAAATGTAAAACATTCACAGATGTGCTAAAACCCTTGGAAAACATATGCGTCCTCTTCTTCACCCCCCAGCTATGGGTAAATATCAGGACAGACCGGGTTCTATTGCCTTGGATAGCAACTGGTCTATCGTAGAAAGAAATGGCAATCTACTACGGGAAAATAAATCTGCCTCGTCAGTCATGTATCGAAAGATACATGATCGCCTAAGTGTGTATCATGCATGGCGCATAACTAGCAGATATATAAATTGTTATTATATTGTGTATATATATCTTTCTGTTAAGTGTATATATATATATATATATATATATATATATATATTTGAATAAAAGACAGACCACGTTAAGATTCCATGTAATAAGCTATTTCACCATAACCCCTTTAACAGGGTTTCTGGATCATCATACTTTACTTCCAAAAGCTTAAATGAAAAATGAAAAGAAATTCACACATTTTTTACGGACCTCATCAAGTCTACGTAAAGTTAACGAAGTGAGGGAGTGAGGTGGGAGAGAGTATATGAGTGTGTCATATGTATCATTTTAGTTTCCTATTTTAACCCCAGTGTGTCGGCTAGATGTTGCTCAAATTTAACGCGTCTCGTCTCTAGATATAGATGGCTAAGGGCTGAATGATAAGAACGACATTAAAGGAAGACGTTACAACAACCCCAATAAATTACACGACAGGTTTCATTCAAATTCATAGAAAATACCCAAAACTCCACCGAATTTCAAATTAATTTCTTCGTAGATTGTTTTAACATTTAGATATTTATCTTAACCTCCAAAATCTGCACGTTAAAGTAACGCGAACTGACACTCCCACCTCACTTCCTCACTTCGTTAACTTTGCGTATACTTGATGGGGTCCGTAAAAAACGTGTGAATTTCTTTTCATTTTTCATTTCAGCTTTTGGAAGTAAAGTCTGATGATCCAGAACCCTGTTAAAGGGGTTATGGTGAAATAGCTTATTACATGGAATCTTAACGTGGTCTGTCTTTTATTCAAACATATCTGCTCTGAATTTTACATTGAGCTCTCTGGATATCATCCTCCTCAGGTCTACCCATACGGATTACCTAAATTTGCATAAACTATATATATATATATATATATATATATATATATATATATATATATATATATATATATATATATATATATATATATATATATATATATATATATTTCATTGATTATAATAGACAATGTTCTTTGATTTAGTTTTTTTATACAATTTCTCAAACGATCTAATCATTTTTTTTTCTTTTCAGGTGATAAATTATATAAAAAATGTTCGCACCTTATTCGTAACAGACTTGTTGACAACACAACTATAATCGCATCATCTACATGCAAAAATGACTAAAAATAATGTAAGCCTTATTAATAAAAGCAAAAAAAACAACACTCAATATCAACCATGAACATAGACACAATATCTTGACCGTGTTTTGAAAAATGAAAAATAATTACATACATGCAACAAATTGTTTCTTATTTAACAGTTAAAATATTTCAACCTTGAAAATGGCTAAATGTATAGCCGAAAGCGCTCGGATAAAAAGAACATTTGGACAGTTTTTATATAATTTATCATCTGAAAAGAAAAAGATTATTAGATCGCATGAGAAATTGTATAAAAAACTAAATAAAAGCACCTTGTCTGTCGTATTCAATGAAATGTGCATGAAAAAAAAAAAAGGATTGCTGCCCAAATACACACACACACACACACACACACACACACACACACACACACATATATATATATATGTGTATATGATTTTATTATTTTGTGTGTATATATATTCTGCTATTATATTTTGTGTATATATATATTTATTATTATATTTTGTATATATATATATATATATATATATTTATTATTATATTTTGTATATATCTATATCATGTTATTATATTTTGTATATATATATATATATATATATATACAAAAATAATAACAAATTATATATATACAAATATATATATATATATATATATATATATATATATATATATATATATAGAATAAATTGAATCTTTGTTTCTCATTTCAGGCTTGTTTTGCCGATCTCAATTGACAGGCGTAGATTTCCTCGAAGTGGTGTTCAATCTTTTTTTTTTTATGACTCAATAAGATTCTGTTCGATTCGCCGCCATCATTGCTCTGCAAATCGATCTAATACTGCTGCCATCGAATCCGTCTTCTCCATCGCAGCCGCCGCCGCCACCCTCACGCCTTACTGAAGATATTCCGGTACACACACACACACACACAGACACACACTCTTCCCTGGCGTCTGGTCATCGAAATTATTGTTCTTTTCTACAATTTCCAATCTATTCCTTTTCCGTCTGCGTTGTTTTGTTTTCCTTGTAATGGCGTTTACTTGCCTTGGTTGTCTAGTTTTCCAACGCGCTTACCAAAAAGATGCTGTGGATGTTTCATAAACCGTACATCGTACAAGTGATGTTAACAGGAAATTACAAGATTAAAGCTTTTGTTTTCACAAAACAGAAGAGCCATTCTCGAAATACAACAATACTAAAATTCCATTTAGAAGTGAATCACGAAAACGCCCTTTTGCAATTATTTTTCGTAATAAATGTGTTAATGTTAAATTGCAGATAAAAGACAACATCAGAGCTTATCTTCCGTTTCATTTTATGTGTAATGTGAATAAGAATTAACACATAACATAATCATCACATAGCGAAATACATCAGCACAGAGTAATTTCAATTTACCTTTGTCATATTGAGGTTTCTCAAGTTTAAGTACTCCATGCTTAAAATATAACCCTAATGATAGACATTTCAGTCATTGTACTGGATCTTACACACGCTTGTACATACTTCAAAAATCGATAATAAACAGCCTCATGAATAATCTAATTTGTTTAAAATGTATGAAAATAAACATACATACAAAAATTATCGACGCAAAAGTGACATTCCTCAGCTTTGTAATGTACCCATCAAATTGAAATACACCCACCATAGGCACCCACCAAATGAAATACACCTACCGAATGAAATACATCCATCAAATTCACCCACCAGATGAAATATACCCACCAGATGAAATACATCCGCCAAATGAAATACACCCAGCAGAGGAAATACAACCAACAGATGAAATACACTCACCAAAGGAAATACACTCACCAAATGGAATACACCCAGTCGAGGAAATACACTCAGCAGATGAAATACACCCACCTTAGGAAATACACTCACCAGATGAAATACACCCACCAGAGGAAATACACCCACCAAAGAAAATACACCCAACAGATGAAATACACCCATCAAATGAAATACATCCACTAAATGCATCCACCAAATGCACCCTCTAAATGAAATACACACCATTAATCCATTCCGTCTTTATGAAGCTCAACTAGGAGGACACCTTTTTCATCGGGAGAGCAACGATAATACAAACACGGAAGTAAGGTTGTCTCCCATATATCCGAATTTCTTGACAAATTTGCTAATCGATTACAGGTTCACAGAATTATTTTTAACACCAACGCATTTCACACTACTTCAACTAAAAGGTTTAGGAAATAAACTTGCATCAATATTGGAAAAAGCAACAACAATTTACTGGACTTGAGAAACTTATTTTCCTGTACAATTGTTTTAAGAGACAGATTACAACCGAAAGTAGTGTTGACTGCTCGTTTAATAAATGTCAGATATTTTCTTTTAAAGAATTGGTTAATATTGCTAATACCAGCCTTAATTTAGCAATGTGTATCACTTTCGCTTATGTGCGTATAGCTGTTGAAAAAAAGCCGATCAAAATTCTTATGTCACATTTACGAGATGTTATAACGACTCTGGAGAGCATATTTCATTTAATGTGTCAATTCTAAAACCTACCGTGATCACTAGCCAAAGTAGATCCCACCCATATATATATATATATATATATATAGTGGAAGATATATATATATATATATATATATATATATATATATATATATATATATATATATATATATTGAAAGAGAGAGAACGATGCTTAAAATCGTCTTTAAAATGTTCAAAAACGTTTCAAATCCCCGTCTTAACAATCTATTTATTATTACCGTTATTTTTACGATAAAAATCTTTCTTTAGATACAGTGAAAAAAAGAAATCGCAACCCCCCTCACCAAGCAAAGAAAAATGAAAAAAAAAAACAACAATGCGTTGATGTAATTAAAAATGAGGATAAAGCAGAAAAGATGCTGATTTTTTAATTTTTAAATTTTACTTAATTTAAATCGTCGCTCTTGTCTCCTTCCTCTCCCTACAAATTTTTGCCCATTTTTCCACGCTCTTTTTGCCACTTTCATCACACTTAAAATTGCCCTCTTTTTCTCCCGCGGTATTCTGGTCTTCTTCTCCTCAAAAAATCTTCTTCTCTGGTCTTCGTGTCTCGTTCCTTTCCCTTAAAATTATTGCATTTTTCATTCCCGCGCTATTCTTGTCCCCTTCCCTTTAAATTATCGTCTTTTTCTTCGACGATTTTCTCGTCTACTTTCCCTCCCTAAAAATTGTCTTTTTATTCCCCCACTCTTCTCTTAAAATTGTCGTCTTGTTTTTTCTCTGCTCATCTTGTCACCTACCTCGCCTTAAAAACTGCCCTTTTTTTTTCTCCCGCGGTCTTCTGGTCTCCTTTCTCTCCCTAAAAAAATTCCTCTCCGGTATCCGTGTCACATTCCTTGCCCTTAAAATTGTATTTTTCATCCTCGTTATTCTTGTCTCCTTCTCCTCCCTATAAATTATCATCTTTTTCTTCCCTATTCTTCTTGTCTCCTTACACCTCCTTTAAAATTGTCGTCTTTTTCTTCCGCGTTCTCATTGTTTCCTTCCTCTATATTAAAATTGTCCTCTTTTTCTTCTCCGCTCGTCTTGTCACCGTCCACCCTATTAAAATTGTCCAATTTTATACCCCGCCTTTCTTGATTCCTACCTCACTATTAAGATTACATACGTTTTCATCACAGCTCTTCTTGGTTCTTTCTCCCCATTAAAATTGTCTTCATATTCTCCCCTGCTCATCTTGTCTCCTTCCTCTCCTTTAAAATATAATTCTTTTTTTCACTGGTCTTCTTGTCTCCTCTCCCAACAATAAAATTGTCCTCATATTCTTCCCTGCTCATCTTGTCTCCTTCTATAAAATTGAACTGTTTTTCTTCTCCGATCATATTGTCTGCTTCCTAGCTCTTAAAGTGTCGTCTTTTTCTTCCACGCTCTCCTTGTCTCCTTGCTCCCCTTTCAAATTGCCCCTTTTCTCCGCTCTTCTTGTCTCCTTCTTCTCCCTTAAATTTTCCCTCTTTTTCTTCCACCTTATTCTTGTCTCCTTGCTCCCCTTTCAAATTGCCCCTTTTCTCCGCTCTTCTTGTCTCCTTCTTCTCCCTTAAATTTTCCCTCTTTTTCTTCCACCTTATTCTTGTCTCCTTGCTCCCCCTTCAAATTGCCCCTTTTCTCCGCTCTTCTTGTCTCCTTCTTCTCCTTAAATTTTCCCTCTTTTTCTTCCAACTTATTCTTGTCTCCTTGCTCCCCTTTCAAATTGCCCCTTTTCTCCGCTCTTCTTGTCTCCTTCTTCTCCCTTAAATTTGCCCTTTTTTCTTCACCCGTTTCTTGTCCCCTTCCTCGCCCTTAAAATTATCCTTTTTTTTCGTGCACGTTCTTCTTGTCTCCTTTCTCCCCTTTCAAATTGTCCCTTTTCTCCGCTCTTCTTGTCTCCTTCACCTCCCTTAAATTTTCCCTCTTTTTCTTCCACGCTCTCCTTGTCTCCTTTCTTCCCTTTCAAATTGCCCCTTTTCTCCGCTCTTCTTGTCTCCTTCTTCTCCCTTAAATTTTCCCTCTTTTTCTTCCACCTTATTCTTGTCTCCTTTCTCCCCTTTCAAATTGCCCCTTTTCTCCGCTCTTCTTGTCTCCTTCTTCTCCCTTAAATTTTCCCTCTTTTTCTTCCACCTTATTCTTGTCTCCTTGCTCCCCTTTCAAATTGCCCCTTTTCTCCGCTCTTCTTGTCTCCTTCTTCTCCCTTAAATTTCCCTCTTTTTCTTCCACCTTATTCTTGTCTCCTTGCTCCCCTTTCAAATTGCCCCTTTTCTTCTTGTCTCCTTCTTCTCCCCTTAAATTTCCCTCTTTTCTTCCACCTTATTCTTGTCTCCTTGCTCCCTTTCAAATTGCCCCTTTTCTCCGCTCTTCTTGTCTCCTTCTCCCTTAAATTTTCCCTCTTTTTCTTCCAACTTATTCTTGTCTCCTTGCTCCCCTTTCAAATTGGCCCTTTTCTCCGCTCTTCTTGTCTCCTTCTTCTCCCTTAAATTTGCCCTTTTTTCTTCACCCGTTTCTTGTCCCCTTCCTCGCCCTTAAAATTATCCTTTTTTTTCGTCCACGTTCTTCTTGTCTCCTTCCTCCCCTTTCAAATTATTCTCTTTTTTTTTTCTCCGCTTTCCTTGTCTCCTCCTTCTCCCTTAAAATTGTCCTTTTTTTCATCTTCCCCGCTTTCCTTGTCCCCTTCCTCGCCCTTAAAATTGTCCTTTTTTTATCTTTCCCGCTCTTCCCTTCTTTACTCTCGCTAATAAAACTCTCTTCATGTTTTTTTTTCTGTCTCTAGTGAATATATTGTATTTTTCTTTTTACCAATCACACTCTTGCTTCACCTGTTAACCTAAATGATTATAGATATTTAAAAAGGTATGAGAAATTGGAAATTCTGATTTTCAATTGAACACATTTGTCTTTTCAGTATAAAAATAAAGAAAGAAACATAAATGAATAAGCGTACCTGATCTCTGTTTTATTCTACTTAATGGTTTTTTTTTTAGGTCTGAGACGAAAATGTGACAGTTGAGCCGTGTCTCCAACTTGTCCAGATACCAGGTGTCACTGAACGGTCATATTTCCTATAACCTCATTTCAGATGAGTTCATAACAAAAGAGAGAAGACGATAATACAAAATTAAAATCTAGTTTCTTTTTCTCTCACTTTTCCCCCTCTTTAACCTCTCCAACATTTCTTTCTTTCTTATCTGTTTATTTTATATTTATTGGTCTGCTTCGTGGTTAACATTAGATACTTCTGTCTATCCACCTATATTGATGTGAATCAACAAATTCCTCTTACCTGGGGCTCTCTATCATGCAAAGTCACGAAATTGCGGTTTAAATTCAACACAGCTCATGCCGTAACAGATCGCTTGATCCAAGCTGGGGGTTTTATAACACATGTCTGAACCATATTGAGGTTACTTATCAGCGTCCATTTTCTATCCCTTGTCGCCATATTGCTTCGGTTGAACTCCCTATGATAAAGCAATCGTGTAGTTTATGGAGTGTTTCATGAGTTCTTCTTTCTCTGTTTCTTCACCGTCACTCTGTCGTGATTTCCATGTTTACCAGAGATATTTTCTGGAAAATCAGAGAGATAGAAATGAAATTACAAGCACTATTGCACGTATAACACTATCATTTTATTGAATTCTTCATGTGCAGTCTCTCTGAAAGGACGTAGGTGATCATGGCTCTCCACAATTTCCTATCCTTCGTAGCTCTTAATAAATGTATTTTTATTTCTTCTAAACCTTGTTCTGCTATCCATTTACTCAAGTTCAGTAAGTAGGCTATGCGTTGTTTTCCTTTGTCCTTCAATCTGTCCTGTGAATATCAGGTTTTCCAAAACCTCTTTCCTCATTATGTGACCTAGAAATTTCAACTGTCTCTTCCTGATGTTAATTACACATTTCCTTTTTGTTGTCATTTTCTTTAAAACTTCGTCGTTGTTCACGTGTTCGGTCTATGGTATTCTCAGCATCCTTCTGTAGAACCACATTTTTGTTGCTTTAACTCATCTTTGAGGAGATCATCCAGCATTCATATAACAGGAATGATATCATGGAACAGTTCAATATTATTTTCTTTGATCATTGCACAAGGAAACTTAAAAAGATGGGAATATAAAAAGTGGTCGAAATATGTCCTTATTCATACGGCGTGTGTGTGTCTGTGTGCGTGTGTCTGTAAATATTTGTTTTAGCCATCATAATCCTGAAGATGATATTTGAATATGTCGAAACTACTCGAAAAAATAAAACTGAATAAATACAACTAAGGTAGCTTCTGTGTTCTCTTTCATTATGAAATAACAAAACTTATACGTGATTGCAAAATGATATTTTCTAAGAAATTTCTCAGACACTCAGGCTAGTAAATGCAATTAATATTGTTTATTTAAAAACACAGCATTCGATTTGATTGTGCTTTACTGTAAAACACAGGCTAATCGATAATATTTAATCGAAGTATTTCGATGTGGCCCAGTCGTTATCAAGATTGTCTTGCTAGATAAATTTACAGCTGAGTCATGAGTTCGATACTCAATGCGTGCGACATCTAAAATTACGCTAAGAAAATAAGTAAATAATTTTGGCAATAGATAAAACTTAAGTTTTTAATAACAATATTCAATATCGGATATAGAGACAATTGTAGACCGTCAATTAAAATTGTTCATAAAAACTTTTTCACCATTTGTACCAAGAAGCTTTCAGTAAGCATCCGGGATTTTAAACGAATGGAATACTTTTGCTTTGCTTCCTTTTGTTCTACGGCATATTAACACCTCAGTGGGTTATTTTAGGATGGATTCGTATGAATAGAATATGTATTTCTTTGTAAGAAATCAATTTGTAGATCAAGTTTCATTGATCTATTTTTGTAGAGAGGGGTTATCGTGAGTCAAATTTATTGCTGTTTTTCTTTTTTTTTTCCAAAAATTCGTTGCTGGTATTTTTACTATAAAAATCTATTTTTATGCTTTAATAGTGGTTTGATACCAGTTCGGACAGTTAACTGGGACCCTAACAGGTTCTACCACCCAAGATCAAGGTGGACCTGGGAACAACTGTAATTAAGACGTGTTTTCACACTTATGACTTGCCTACGTGCTCAGTCCATGGCATTCTCATTATCCTTCTGTAGAAGTATATTTCTTTTAACTCCAGTTTCTCTTCATTTTGGGAGTGGGTGGGAAATTGTCCAGCCTTTACTGGCCTACAAGATGATTGATATTACATAACAGATAAGTACTCTTTTTTTGTTTTGTTTCTAACGAAATGTTTCTGTCTCTTTGCTTAGCATTTGGAATGCACATTTAGTTTTTGGTGTCGTATTTTCCCTGCAGCTTTTGCCTATTTCTTACCCCCCGCCAAAAAAAAAAAAAAAAATGCTGGTGTAGGAAGTCATTTGAAAGCTTATGAAAAAACAAAGGAAAGTCGCCATGCTCGAGATTAACTAGACAGCGGCAATATATATATATATATATATATATATATATATATATATATATATATATATGTGATCGAGAGGCGCTATATCGAGTCTGTAGGAACAGACGAAAGCTTGTAAAAAATTAAAAAGACCTTAAGCAACTGGAATTTGTAAACAGGGATCATATCATTCATATACAGGTTCGGGGTTGGTGTATATATATATATATATATATATATATATATATATATATCAAACTGTAACCTGAACGAAAAGGATATAAATTCAAACATTCATAGCATTAATTTAAAAAAGGGCTCAATACCAAGAGTAGAGCAATAGTTATTTTTTACAAAGATGGTACATACGGACAAACAAGTACTCACGACAAAGATGCATTTTTGTTTCGATGCGAATGCATCTCGGCAGGTGAGGAACAAAGATGGTTATAAACGATTCTATTTGAATTATTATTTTCTTTCTCATTTTTCAGTTTTTTCGTATTCATATAAATCTTTCTCTTCTTTTTGCTTTTACCTGTTTTTCTTCTTCTTCTTCTTCTTCTTCTTCTTCTTCTTATTATTATTATTATTATTATTTTTTCTTTCTTTTCCTTTTATGAAAACCCTTTATATATTTCTTTTCCTTTTATGGTGTTTCTCCTTATGTCTTTAAAAAAATGAATAATGAAAAAAAGAAGTGATGTTTCATAAGTAACATTTTTAAATAGAATCGTTTATAACAATCTTTGTTCGTCACCTGACGAGATGCATTCGCATCGAAACAAAAATGCATCTATCTATCTATCTATCTATCTATCTATCTATCTATCTATCTATCTATCTAGAGAGAGAGAGAGAGAGAGAGAGAGAGAGAGAGAGAAAGAGAGAGAAAGAAGAGAGAGAGAGAGAGAGAGAGAGAAATGAAGAGAGAAAGAGAGATTTGAAAATGCAGGAAAACATTCTTCGTTAAGGATCCTTTTCAAGTAAAATTTTGTCAGAAGAATACGATGGCAAATATTAAATTGACAGAATAGCAATTCGTACTGCGATAAAAGAAAGATATAAAGAGAAGAAAGGAAACATGACTAAAATACATTTTTTTTTTGTTAATGAACCCGAGGACAGAAATATACTGGCAAAAGAGTCAATGTAAAAGGTTCCTAGTGAGTATAAAATGGAAAAGGTTAACTCACATAATTCTTGAACGACCGAAAAAGCGAATAAAATGGTTTTTCTCTTTGCACAGAGACGGTTTATGTAATTTAATAAAAATGCGCTTCTAATATGCGTAAATGCTGAGCAGACAGTGAACAAATCGTCAGTATATCTTCCCGCAGA